ATCAGCTACCAATGATGGAAGTCTTATGAAGCATGCGCACTCCGATCACCACCGATACTGTCTGCCTTGACCCACATCTTCCTACTGAGATTCCGCTTCACAAACTTCAAACCCGACGGTAATCCATCTCCAAGTCTCCCTCATTCTCCCAATAATCCTGTTGAGAAGCTAACAGCTCCTCACCGAACCCAACCAAATGAACGGACTCAGTGATGCGCCCAACAAACTAGCAGGAGAGGGGTAGAGGATCAACCGGTAATTTATCAATCAATAGAATCCAACCCTGGATCCTCACAATCAGAGAGAATAAAGTAATGCTAGGGTTTCAATTGCGAATTTTGGAGCAGATGATGATTAGGGTTACAAATGGTTTGGGATTCTGATATAAATCCCAACGATACTGCACAGCTGAAAAAATTAATGGAGGTTAGCTAAGGCTTCCTTCGATACATATTGTCTTGTTGTGTTTTTATAAAATTAAAAAAAAAACGAGGTTATGTTTTTTTTTAAATGTTTTTAAAACATCATATTATGTATTTTAGGTGAACACTAGTTTACATTATATGTTAATTATAATAAAATATATTGTAAATAAAATATAATAATATTTAGTTTATATTATTATAAATATTAAATGTATTAAATGTAATGCAATATAATATTGTATAATATATTATAAAATTATATTATACTTTAATGAGTTATATTATATTATAATAATTATTATATTATAATTATTACATATTATTTTCAAATAATTATATATTTAATTATTTTGGTATATCATTTTGTTATTGTTGTATATTATATTAATATTTTTATAATAATGTTATTTTATTATTAATATGATATTATATTATACTATTATTCATATAATATAATATTATTAATAATGTTAATATTATGTTATTGCTAGTATGTTATTAATAAATTAATATATTATAAATATTTTAATATTGTATAATATATTATAGTTTTAATATGTTAGAGTTTATTAATAGTATTTTAATAATATATTAGTATTTATGATAAAAATAAATATTATTATATTATAAATATATAATTTTTATATTAATATTTGTTAGATAATAAATTATTTTATTATTAAAATTATTTTACTTTATTAGTAAATATATTATTTATTATATAATATATTAGTATTTTATATATTATATTATATTTACTATACAACATGTTATTATATTATTATTATATTGTTATGTTATTATTAAATATGTTACTATTATATAATATTAATAATTATTAATTTATTATAATTTATTTATTAAAAATTAATAATATTATATGATCTATACTATTGTATAATATATTATTATATTATTATTTATTATTAATAACTTTTATTATTTTTATTAGTATATTTATATTTTATTATATTTAGTTATTATATAATATATTATTAACATATTAAATATTAATATTTAATATGTTATTGTATTATTATATAAGATGTTTTATTTATTATATTTGTTATATTATTTAATATATATATTACTAATATATTAAATTAACCATAATATAATATAGTATAGTTTAATATAATAAGCATGTTGATAATAACTCTATATTAATTATATTTAATATATTATATTATATATTATATTAATATCTTCTCAAACTCAAAACTAAAACACCAAGCCGGGTCAGCTTTGTTTGGCTACCAAGGTGTTTTTATTGTTGTGTTTTTCTAGAAAAAAACATTGGTGCTGTGTTTTTTCTCCTTAAATGTTTTGAAAACACCATTGTGATTTTTTAAAAGTGTTTTTATCCCAAACCACTAGATGCAATCCTTATGAACACATCCACTGTCATTCCCACCACCACCATCATCAACATCACCACTGGCAAAACCACCCAATGCCGACGATCGGTGCCGGCACCATGTACCAGTTAATAGGAATTTTCTGATTCTTACTCCAAAAAGTTTTTTTTATACAAATTACCGTGATAATGTCAGCTACATGATGATATTATGAGCTACATGAATAAATTATGATACAGGATTTCTTGCATTATATTCACATATTCTCCAAATTGTAACCAAATATTTTATGTAAATGAAAATTCACTCGAAACGCTTTCAATTAACAACAAATAATTCTAAGATGACGAGGTAATCACAAAACCCTAAAATTTCCCCTACCTCGGCTCTCCAAGTTCGCCTCAACTTTGGACCTGATCAAGCGCAGAGAATCACGAAACGAGCTCGCAGAGAGTTCGGATCTTTGTCGTCGGATGACGCTGGTTTCAGAGCATGGCAGATAACGGGTTCGGGTTTTGAGGAAGTGGATTTGGAGGAGGCAGCGATGAGATCTGAAGGCGGCAACGGCGACGGGATCCGAAGGAGGCGACAGCGACGCGATCTAAAGGCGGCGACGACGACGCGATTTGAAGGCGGCGACGGCGACAAGATCTAAAGGCGGTGACGAAGACGACGACGACGCCAGGGGACACGGTGACGGCAACGACGGACTGCGCT